TGAGTTAAATAAGTAATTTTTCCTTAAAAAAATGTATTACATTTTCCTGGACTTTTAAAAACCAAGTGCTGGTCAAATTGCTTTTCTAGTTGTATAAAAGTGTGGTATATACAGACCTGGGGTTAAAATAGGAGAGGCCACTGAGACTCTTACAGGGATCCTGTGAGATCAAACTATCTTCATAATAATATTGAGACGTTATTTGTCTTTTTTACCATGTTGACATTTGCACCTAATATTGCAAGAGCAATGGCAGATAAGAGTGCTGGCATCTTAGCACAACTAGAGACAATGAGTGACACCAAACCAGTGTTATATTCTTCACAGCCATACGCTGGCAATTAAAAATAAAACCCAATTTTACTTCATGTCCTTCATGAAGCAATAAAAATAATTAATTTTACTAAATCTGAACCCTTGAATACCTACTTTTTAATACTATGTGTGATGAAATGGGAAGTATGCATAAAGCATCTTTCATATATAAGTATGACAGTTATCTTGATGAGAAGTACTTGTGTGATTGATTGAGTTGCTGCCGAGCGAACTGGCCACTTTTTCATAGAACACCTTTTTCACCTGAAAGAATGACTGACAGAAAAACTATTGTTATATGAACTTGAGAATCTGGCAGATATTTTCTCAAAAATGAATAAAGCAAGTTTGTCACTTGAAGAAAAACTGACAACAGTTGTTGGCCAATAATAAAATTTAGTCTTTCGCCCTGGCCGGTTTGGCTCAGTGGTTAGAGCATTGGCCTGCAGTATGGAGAGACCCAGGTTCGGTTCCCGCTAAGGGCATGTACCTCAGTTGTAGTTTGTCCCCGGCCCTGGTTGGGTCATGTGGGTGGCAACCGCTCGATGTGTCCCTTTTACATCGATGTTTCTTTCTCTCTCTCTCCCTCCCACTCTATCTGAACAAAATATCAAACAAAAAAAAGTCCTCAGGTAAGGATAAAATAAATAAATAAATAAAATTTGGTCTTTCAAGTAAAAAGTAAAATTTTGAAAAAACTAGTATCTGCTCCTGTTAGTTTCTCAAGTTCCCAATAATCAAATCATTTTCTGATGAAATAAAGTGTTTATGTTAACTAATGTGATTTTTAAAAATATCTATAAAGAAATGTGTCGCCTGACCAGTGTGGCTCAGTGGTTGAGCGTAGACCCATGCACCAAGAGGTCACCGGTTCGATTCCTGGTAAGGGAACGTGCCCAGGTTTCAGGTTCCGTCCCCAGCAGGAAGAGCGCAGGAGGCAGCCGATGGATGGCTCTCTCATATCAATGTTTCTTTCTCTTTCTCCCTTTCCCTTCCTCTCTCTCTAAAAATCAATAAAAACAATTTTTAAAAAAAGTATCAACATTTGAAAGGTATGTATGACTTAATAAACCAATATTTTTTAAATGGCCAATGTATACATGATGTTACAAAATCATGAAAGGTTAAAGATCCATTCAAAGTGCAAGACAGAACCAATGGATTTTAATGTAACAAAGTACAAAAAGTTTATCACTATGACTTCAAATTCCACATTGTAATTAACCCACCACTTGTTGACTTTTGGTGTAAAAACAAAGAAATATATCCATAATTATCTGAAAAGGCTACCAAAGTATGCATATACTTTTACATCTAAATATCTATGTGAGGCCAGATTAACTTTATATACTTCAAAACAACAAATCGTAACAGATTAAATAAAGAATCAGAATGAAAATCTTGTATCTTTACTTAACAGATATAAAAGAGATTTATAAAAATGTAAAACAGCCCTGGCCAGGTGGCTCAGTTGATTGGAGCATCTTCCTATACAAAAGGTTGCAGGTTCGATTTCCAGTCAGAGCACATACTTAGGTTGTGGGCATGATCCCTGGTCGGAACATGTATGGAAGGCAACAATAGATGTTTTTCTCTCACACTGAGGTTTCTTTCTCTCTTTCTCCTTCCCCTCTCCTTCCTTTCTCTCTAAAATCAGTAAACATATGCTTGGGTGAGGATTAAAAAAAAATGTTAAACAGCCCAGCCAGTGTGACTCAGTGGATTGAGCATCGTCCCATGGACTTAGAGATCCCCGTTCAATTCCCAGTCAAGACATATAGATGGGTTGCAGGCTCACTCTCCAATAGGGGGTGTGCAGGAGACAGCCGATCAATGTAGCTCTCTCACATGGATGTTTCTCTCTCTCTCTCCCTTCTTCTCTCTTTAAATAAAATTTAAAAAACATATTTTTTTAAAAAGTAAAACAATACCAACCTCCTCATTCATTTTTTGAGAAAACAGTTATTTTTCATCAAAACACAATGACAACATATAGTGGATTCTTCTAAAATAAATTAGTAAATACTTAAAATTTTTCTCAGCTTTAATTTCTAAGTTAAAATAAATAGTAACAGATATAACCCAATGTAAACAAAAGCTTCTTAGAGATCTCAAATTTTATTTATTTATTTTTTTATCCTCACCCAAGGACATTTTTCTATTTTTTGTTCAGACAGGGCGGGAGGGAGAGAGAGGAAGAGAGAGAGAGAGAAACATTGACGTGAAAGGGACACATCGAGTGGCTGCCACCCACATGACCCAACCAGGGCCAGGGACAAACTGCAACCAAGGTACATGCCCTTAGCGGGAAATGAACCCGGGTCTCTCTGGACTGCAGGCCGACGCTCTAACTGCTAAGCCAAACCAGCCAGGGCGAGACCTCAAATTTTAAGAGTAAAAGAGGCTATGGAACCAAAACATCTGAGAATAGTTGCTCTAGAATAGAGCTACTGTGAAAGTGTGGTTCCCAGAATAAGCCAGTCTGTGACAAAAGAAGCAGAGAAGTTAAGGATGAGCATCTAGAATCTATGACAATTTGACATTACTGTGGCATCTAGACACATAATCAGGGATTTTACACTCTGCATTTTTTTGGAGGAAGGGGGGCCTTTCATTTCTCTAATATTTGACAGTAATACTCGTCCATGGTGACTGGAAATTAAAATTTAAAACAGAAGAAAGGAAACTAGTCCTTTACCAAACTTGGTTGAAAAACAATGTTCTAGAGAAAGTCTCTGGTCAATTGAGAAACACAGACTAGAATTCTTAGGGAATCCAAGATACTTCAGGTAGAGAGCGAAAGACAACAAGCAGATCCTGACTAGAAAGATGTGGGTATTATGCTTAAATTGAACTAACTTATATCTTAGATTTGAAGACTTTTAATTTTATTAGACATTAAACAGGAGACTATGTAGGAAATTTTGGTCCAGTCAGTGTGGCTCAGTGGTTGAGCGCTGACCCATGTACCAAGCAAGAGGTCATTGGTTCAATTCCCAGTCAGGACACAGGCCCAGGTTGTGGGCCTGATCCCCAGTGGACAGCATGTAGTAGGTGGCCAACTGATGTTCTCTCTCATTGATGTTTCTCCCTCTCTCTCCCTCTCCCTTCCTCTCTCTTTGAAATAAAGGAAAAAAAAAATTAAAATAAGATTAAAATTTAATATGGGCCCAGCCTGTATGGCTCAGTGGTTGAGGCTCACCCCATGCACCAAGAGGCAGCCTGTTTGATTCCTGGTCAGGATGCATGCCTGAGGTGCAGAATCAAACAGATAATCTCAAAGGACTTGATAATTAAAAATATAAAAACTAAAACTAATAGATAACACAATCTCATTTTAATCTTTATTTTCAACTTCATCTGTTAAATCAATTGCTATGGACAAAACGAATCAAACCATGTGCCTCTTTGTTAGTATTTTGTTTCCTGCTGTCTGGACAACCATAAAATAAGAGTAAAAAACCTCGAGACCTGAAAGATTGAAAAATAAGCACATCTGCTTCTGAATAATGAACTAAATTAAATTTCCAACAGAAAAATGTTGAGGAAATGTTTTTATATAAGAAAAATAATATAAAGGTAAAACTATCCAATTTTAAACTTAAAAAATATCACAATTAAAAATTAAAATGAGTGAGACTGGGTGGTGTGGCTCAGTGGCTGAGCGTCAACTCATGCATCAAGAGGTCACCAGTTCGATTCCCAGTCAGGGCACATGCACAGGTTGTGGGCCAAAACCCCAGTCGGGGGACATGCAGGATGCGGCCAATCGATGTTCTTCTCTCATCGATGTTTTCATCTCTCTCTCCCTCTCCCTTTCTTTATAAAATCAATAAAGAGAAAAAAAATTTTTTTAATTAAAATGGGTGTGATATGACACCATTTAAAATTCTCAGTAAAAGTGTTTATTTTCATATCAATGAATTACACTTATACTATACATAGAGAAAAAGAATTACTCTCAAACTCTTAATAGTCTTTACATATCTGGAGGATGAAGCTCTGGGCACCTTTTACTTCTGACCCATATATATTTTTGTATTGTTATAAACAGAAAAAGCATTTCAACTTTTAAATTTAAAATGAGACCTAAACAATAAAATACAACTTAAAATAGACATGTGATCCAAACATCTTATAAGTGTGAAATTTTATGTGTGAAAACCGTTAAAAATATACTTTTCAATGTTAAGAATCTGACTAATAACAATATGGAAACCAATGATTACGATATATCTTCAAGGCAAATTTTAAAGTAGTTTAGATAATAACCCAAAATGCTTCACAGGCATCATGTGTGGTACATAATCAACAAAATTAAGTTTTACACTGTGTTTTTTGATTTTCAGAAAAACTGTCAGAAAACTACTTCATTTAAAACTGTAACACACAGCCATACAATAGAATATTATTTGGCAATAAAAAGGAATAAAGTACTGATACACGCTACAACACAGATAAACCTCTAAAACATTATGCTAAGTGAAAGACCCAGACATAAAAGGCCACATAGTATATGATTCCACATATCTGAAATGTCTAAAAAAGGCAAATCTATAGCAACAGAAAGTAGTTAGTGGCTGCTGAGAGAACAAAGGGAGGAATGGGGAGTGACTGCTAAGAGATATGGGATTTCTTTTGGGGTTGATGAAAATATTCTAAAATTAGATTGCAGTGAGTGTGCCATGGCACCCAGGAGGCCAGCAGCAAGGTGGGGGACCGAGAATGTTGAGACTTATGGTGAAGGAATTTCTCTGGTCAGATTCAAGAATAAGAGTGTGAAACAGAGGACGTGGCGACCTCACTATTCACAGGCCTTCGTGGGGAGCATCCGCGAGGGACAAGGCTTTGCATTTCGAAGAAAATTGAAGAGTCAGCAAAATTATAAGAAACTGCTATGGCAGAATAAGAAGGCTCGAACTTCACAGGAATCCCAATTCAGAGATCGATACCCTGAACATCTGAAACATCTCTATTTAGCTGAAGAGGAAATACTCAGGAAGCAACTTAGAAAAGTTGACCAGCCTTTGTCAGAAGAACAAGTTAATCAGGCTTTGCCAGCAGAGCAATGTAACATTGACCAGGCTTTGTCTGAAGAACATTATAGTATTGACCGGCCTCAGCCAGAAGAACAATGTAAAGAAGAAAGGGTAAACTTCATTATTATTCCAAAAAAAAAAACTAAAAGAAAACATCAAATCAAAAAGCACAAGAAGAATATGAACAGGTACAAGCTAAGCGTGCTGCTAAGAAACAAGAATTTGAGAGGAAAAAGCAAGAGAAAGAAGAAGCTCAAAGACTCTACAAAAAGAAGAAAATGGAAATATTTAAAATATTGAGCAAAAAGACTAAAAAGGGCCAACCAAACTTAAATTTACAGATGGAGTATCTTAAAAAAATACAAGAAAACAATTAAATTTGTTCTCAATCCAGGGTTAAAATACCTGCTGTCTACTGAACTCTTTGTGTATGTAATATACTTCCTAATAATTCACTAAATTTATCAATATAAACTGGATTGCTAAGCTATACTAAAAATATCATGTCCAAATACTTTTGTTCTTATAAAGGAAAATTTTCTGTATATGCTCTGTAGAATATGATTTGTTTCTTATTATTTGCCTCTGAAGGAAGGGTGGCCTGAAAAACTGAAAGAACCTTCTATTTGGATGACAGGTTCAAGCATTCATTACTTTTGTACCACATAAAATTCAGATGGAATAAAATGTTTTGAAAATAAGGGAGCGGAGCTTTCGATGGAATTTTTAAATTTAGTAATCAACTTTACAGTTTTAAAATTTATTTTAATAATTGAGGCAAAGACTCTTCTTGGACTTTTAAACTTATTTTAAATTAAGCACATGTTACAGAGGAATGGATTTTCCAGAAACCCGAGGGCATGAATGAAACTACTTTCTATCCCCCATATTTAACTGTGGGGTCTTCATAAAGCAGAGTTTGGGGTGAAAACTTAAAAAGCTTAATATTTATAAAAACATTCCAAAAGTGTAAGTACATAGCTTGTTAATGCAAGATCTTGGGAACTCGGCAGTAGCGTGGCAAGAATTAAACATTCCAGATCCTGTTATTGTGTTTAAAAAAAAAAAAAAGATTGTAGTGATGGCCACAAAACTCTGTAATTACTCAAATGACTGAATTGCATACTTTAAAAGGGTGAATTGTATAGTATTTAAATCATATTTCAAGAAAGCTTAGTATTTAAGAATCGACATTTTTTTAAACCTTAATTCTCAGATTTCTGGTTGCTTCATTAATACAAACAAAATCAGTTTTTCCTGCATTTGGAGACTGCCTGGAAGGTACCAGACCAGATTAGCTTAATTCATAAAACTAAATTTAAATATTTTCTTTGCAATACAGATGAGGTATAAATTGTGCTTTCATTTGTATCCTATAAAAAGATGAGCCTGGCCGGTTTGGCTCAGCGGTTAGGGCATTGGCCTGCAGACCAATGAGTCTTGTATTTGATTCTGGTTAAGGGCAAATACCTCAGTTGGGGTTCATCCCCAGCCCTGGTCAGGGTCATGCAGGAGGCAACCAGTCAATGTGGCTCTATCACATCAACATTTCTGTCTCTCTCTCCCTCCCTTCTCCCTCCCTTCTCCCTCCCATTCTATCTAATGATAAACTGAAAAATATCCTCACGAGAGGAATAAAAAAATATGAAATTAGTAGATTTTCACACAGTAATTAAATGTGAAGCTCTTGATAGAATCTCACAAGGATGCTTTTCTAAGAGGAGAAAACTGAAGAGTCACAAATCTCACATGATATATTCTAGCATCCTTTGGAGACACAGATGTAGACATGAATTGGTTCATTTAAGAAGGCTTGGCCGTCCTGGAAAACCCTTGTCCCTTTTTTCTCCCACTCAGAGTCATAGATTACTAGTCCAAACACTTATTATATAAATGAAGGAACTAGGACTCCTCCCCAAACCTCTGTAAATTATGACTAGGGAAGTTCAATTACTTTTCCTTTAATATATAATAGTGTTTAAGAGTGGAGGTTATACAATAAGATTGGAGACTCTACTTATTTATCTAAAACATAAGAGTAACAATAGTACCTACTTCATAGTGTTGCTGCTAAGAGGAATGCATAAGAAAATTTATGAGAATTGTTTAACAGTGCCTTGCACAGAAGCAGACATTCAACTTTTTTTTTTACTCCTGCCCCACTGATGCTTTCAGTTACCCCAACCTTTCATGGGCAGGTAATAAGAACCAGATGATTGCCTTCTATACCAGGGTAGATTCCTGGCTATGCAGCACAGGAGTTACAAGTATGGCTGATCCTGTCACAAAAATCTGACCAGATTTACGCAGACACTTTTTTTTCCCCTCAACAGTGAACAGGGACTAGGATACAAAGTTTAGAGTGAGAGGGGGAAAAAAAGGTCAGACAATAAGGAACTCAAACATGTAACAAGAGTGAGTTTGCAAAGCAAATATCCAGAAATAAATTTAAACTCAAACTTATTCCAAATGCCATCAGGAATCTAATCTACATGTTTTGATCTAATCCAGGAAAAGGAGTAAAGTTAGAACATATCTTTTCCTAATGTTTACCATTCTTACGGTAGGATTCTATGCTATATAGTTAAATTCAAGCTGCACTTCTATACCATATTGAATTTATAAGGATGTCCCAGTAAATGTAGATTCAAAAATGGAGTGGAGGAAGAAAAAAATCATCCTGCAAAATTGATCAGGATGAAAAGCACTTCTCTGGCTAAAAAATTACTACCCATAGGATTCAGTGATGAAATTACAATGTTCACAAGAACTTCGCCCAAATGCCTATTAAGCTCGTATAAAACATTTTATTACTTATCCATCTGCTTTCTTTTGGAATTCATATGAGAGGTCAGATTAAGGCCTTTAAAAAAAAAAGTGTAAAAAAAATTATAAAACAAATGCAGGGTGTTAAAAGGGAAAACAAGCCCTGGCTAGTTGGGCTCAGCAGTTAGCGCGTTGGCCCTCAGACCAAAGAGTCGCAGGTTTGATTCTGGTCAAGGGCATGTACCTCAGTTGCGGTTCAATCCCTGGCCCTGGTCAGGGTTGTGTGGGAGGCAACCAATCAATGTGTCTCTCATGTCAATGTTTCTCTCTCTCTCCCCCTCCCTCCCATTCTATCTAAAAATCAATGGAAAAATATCCACTGCTGGTGGGAATGCAGACTGGTGTAGCCACTGTGGAAAACAATATGTGTTTCCTCAAAAAGTTAAAAATAGAACTGCCATTTGACCCTGTGATCCTACTTCTTGGAATATATCCTAAGAAGCCTGAAACACCAATCAGAAAGAATATATGTACCCCCATGTTCATACAGTGCTATTTATAATAGCTAAGAACTGGAAACAGCCTAGTGCCCATCAGTAGATGAGTGGTTAAAAAAGTTGTGGTACATTTACACAATGGAATTCTATGTAGCTGTAAAAAAGATCTCTTACCCTTTGAGATAAATGGAGACACCTGGAGAGTATTATGCTAAGCTAAATAAGCCAGACAGAGAAAGACAAGTATCACATGATTTCACTTATTTATGGAATATAATGAACAAAATAAGCTGACAATCGAAATAGATCCAGAGACATGGAAGTAGGGAACAGATGGACAAACCTCAGAGGGAACGGGGATGGGTGTGTGTGTGTGAAGAGATAAACCAAAGAACTTATATGCATATGTGCATAAGCAATGGACACAGATAGTGTGGGGAAGGCAGAGGAGTGTGGGAGCAGGGAGGAGGGGGTCAGTGGGGGAACATCTGTTATACTTTCAACAATAAAGATAAAAAGAAAGAATAATTGTTAAGCCCTGGCCGGTTTGGCTCAGCGGTTAGAGCGTCCGCCTGCGGTCCGGAGAGACCCTGGTTCGGTTCCCACTAAGGGCACGTACCTCGGTTGCAGTTTGTCCCTGGCCCTGGTTGGTTGTGCGGGTGGCAGCCACTCGTGTGTCCCTTTCACATCGATGTTTCCCTCTCTCTCTCTTCCTCTCTCTCCCTCCCACTCTGTCTGTACAAGAAATGGAAAAATGTCCTCGGATGAGGATATAAAAAAAAAAAAGAATAATTGTTAAATAAATAAATGCATAAATAAAGGAAAAACTAGGACTATATCAGTTATAAAGGCTCTTTGCCAGTTAAGATGCCCATAATTATTTCACTGGTTATTACAAACGGATGTAGGTATGTATATTTTGATATCAGATTATGTCATATGTGTATTCTTATATTCAAATACAACATTTAAGCCCTGGCCGGTTTGGCTCAGCGGTTAGAGCATTGGCCTGCGGTCCTGAGAGACCCGGGCTTGGTTCCCGCTAAGGGCACGTACCTCGGTTGCAGTTTGTCCCCGGCCCTGGTCGGTTGTGCGGGTGGCAGCCACTCGATGTGTTTCTTTCACATCGATGTTTCTCTCTCTCTCTGTTCCTCTCTCTCCCTCCCACTCTACCTGAACAAAAAATGAAAAAATGTCCTCGGGTGAGGATAAAAACAAAAAAAACAAAAAAAACAAATACAACATTTAAGATTCACTTTTTTCTTTACAACCTTTTAATTAATGTTTATTTAGATGTTTTCTTTCTTACCTCTTGTGTTAATTTTGGTATGAACCTCGAGCTGGGGATCACTTGAAACCATACAAGGCCACCAAGGATAGGTTCCCACCTTAGACCAAACAAGATCTCCAACTTGGAACTTAACACCAGCAGACACTTCTGTTGTTGAAACAGAAGATAATATCGGCTGAACCTATAAAAAAAGGTCATAAAACTATATCAGTGAAGAAATTTTAAAGAAGAAACTATGTACAAAGTACATTTAAAATGCTACCCATGTAAACTTTATCTTCAATTATACTTTTCTCTGATACCTAGGTGCTCTCCATAACTAGCAAAAGGGAAGAAGAGAGGAGAAAAATAATACACCCAACTCCAAATATTAAAAATAGGACTGACGATTTCTATTGCCACATTATTGATATTATCTTGAGAATTCACATAACCTTTTAAAAAGTGGTTATAGTTTTGAAAAGAAAAATAATTCACTGAAAATATCTTCCTCTTAAACCAATTCTAAGATTTATTTCAGTATAACTTCTGAAATAAAGAAGTATAGAACTATACTATGTGTTAAATATGTTATAATCTTATCATTCTGCTTTCACCTTCTCATGCCATATTCAATTAAACAGTAATTAATAAAGAAACTCACCAAGGTTTCCTCTTTTAGTACTGGATCTTCTCTTGGTTTTTCAGAAACAGGGTCAACCCTCTCATTTGGTCTCTAGGTGAAAAGGTATAGGTAAAAAAAATAAAATGGCAAACCAAAGAATAGTGACATACACCGAAAGAATAAAAGAAAACTAAATAACAAAGAGAATAAAGGACACTT